CTCTCAATGATTGCACACACACTCACTCACTATGTGAGCTCTCATGTTTGCCTTTGAGTTCTGCACTCACATGTTGCCTATGCTCATTGATCCATGTGTTACCTGTCTTGCTCATGATCGTGTGCTTCATATTGTCTCAATTGCCAGATTGTGAGCCTTATGGTATGTGGATTATCTCATCTTCGTATCTCCATCATACTAATCCATTTGTGTTTCAGGTGATATTTGGGTGCATGAGTAGTTTTGGATACTCAGGGGTGGGTGTTTCAGGTTACTTGAAGAGCTGTTTGCCTTTGGCAACTGCTCGATTGGTAATTCCTACACTCGAGCAATGTTGACACACTTCAGTACTTTTGCAGGGGGTGAAACTTCTGAGAGCTTGTAATCTATGCTCGAGGGCACAAGTTATGGCTCAAGCGAAGGTCGCGCATAAGTGAGTTCACTCGAGGGGTAAAATATTCGCTCGAGCGATCTGCCCAAGTATAAAACCCTAAACCCGTCTCTTCCATTCTAAGTTTTTCGAGCCCCCTCTCTCTCCTAGGGCACCCTTCTTCCCACTGTCAATTGCACTTGGATTCTTCACATTCTGGGTTGTAATCTCGTCTCCCCCTTGCCTCTTTTTGTGTTTTGGTAAGTTTTCCCAGTTTTTTCCCTTTTTTTGTCCTTTTTTTCCCTTCCATTGGTTTTACACCTGTCATCTCTAGAGTTCCTCATTTATTTATTTATTTATTTATTCCCTTTCTTCATGTCCTTTTGTGTGGTGTTATTGCGTTTGTTTTTATTTTTTTATTTTATATATTTTTTTCTTGTAGGCACCTAGGGTTGATTTCTTTTTGGGGAGTTATAATGTGTTGAGTATTTTGCCTGACTGTGTGTCCTAGCCTCATGTTGAGCTGTTCTATGCATTTTTTTACTATGCTTGGGCAATTTGGGAGTTGATTTACTTTTGTTTTTTTTTTCTCTCTCTCTCTTTCTCTCTCACTCATATCTCTATGTGCAAATTGCTCTATCTTGATGTTGCCTTCATGCTATGCTCATTTGTAGTTAGGTTGTTTGTTTGACTCGTGATTACACTGTGTGCTTAAGCCCTATGTGTCTTAGTTCGATTTGGATGTGATTGTGTGCATGTTTTGCTTGCTTTGTTTCGCTCTGCTTCTGTTTACCTACTCATGTTGTGGTTGGATTATTGTTACTAATGGTTTTTACTCTTGTGATTTGTATTTGGGGGTTGGTATTTCTCTATTTGGTTCGGTTTCATGGTAGGTTGGGTGTGTTGTCGGACTCTTAGCCTTGTCTTCCTCCAAACGTTGAATGTCTATAGCCAACCACCTGAATTATAACCTTGACCGTTTCCAATCCTCTGAAAAGGCCAAACTTTTTAGAGAATTCTACACCTCTAGGACTGTCCACCTAGAGCAGAATGTTCAGCCTAACACTTTTGAGTTTATACCCATTAGGAACGTGCTTGATCTTTTGGGGGGTGATATTGTCCTTTCCTTCTCGGGTAGCTAGAATCTTGATTGGATGCGAGAGTTTTACTGCAATATTGAGGAGGTAGATGATACTGAGTTGATTGATCTTTGGGATATGAGGCTATGGACTAACTTGAACTAATCATGATTTGAATTTCAGAGATTTGGGTTACTCTGGTTATCTTGATTTCTATCCATTAACCTTGATTATGTTTGTTTTGATTGATCATCCTATTTCTAGTGTTTGGATTGCAGGAGGTTTGTTCAAGGGTGGTCTTTATATTTCTAGGGTTGTTTTAGACTAGTTGTGTAGTGGTTTGTTTAGTTAGTTTGTGTGTCTAGTGCGTGTGTTTGATAGGCAAAATTGTTAGAATGTTTTGTTCAGGAATTGACAATAGGGGAGATTGTTAAGTCCCTACTTGTTGCCAATTTCGCGAACAAACATGTGTTATTGAGTTGTAATTGTGCCTGAGTTTTTGGCTTAACCGCTCGAGAAGTGAAAGTGTCACTCGAGCGAAGTCACTTATGCAAAATGCGCGTTTAAGTCACACTGCTCAAGCGACCATTCCATGGCTCAAGCGGTGATCGCGAATCTGTCTACTATAAAGCTGCGAACAAGTGCAATTCTAAGGCATGACTTCTAGATTTTCTTCTTAGATAGTAGGGTTTTCTTCTAGGGCTTCTTTAATTGTTTCCTTTGATAATTGTGTGAGGTTATCTCATGAATTAAGTGGTTTAAATCAAAGGGTTTGTGTTTGGTCGTTCAATAGAAAAGAGTTCTTCTTCGATGGATTCCAAGGGTTTGAGTGTCAAGTCTTTGAAGGAGTTCGAAACTACTCATGGTCATGGATTCAACGTGGATGTTGTGGATTCGACATCAAGCAGATCAATTCCAAGACGAAGGCGTTGGTGAAAGAGGAACAAATTGTTGAAGATAATTTTACCGAGTTTGGGTAAATTGTTTGTAAATTTGTGTTCTTTCATACTTCATAGTGGATTGATTTGTGGCATTTCGTCTATGGTTTCTTTTTATCACAATTGGAGGTACTCCAACTGTGGTTTTTTCCACGTAAAAGTCGTTTGTGTTGATTTATTAATTGTGAAACAACAATCTGAATTTTTTTCATATGTGCTTGATGATTTAAATTGTCAGTTTTAATTATTTGGGATTTGTTGCAATTAATAAATCTATTAGAATCACGTAGGTTTTTCATACACTTACCAACTAAAACTTGTAACCTTACATTCAATACAATCTAGATGGGCATTCATGATAAACTTGAATATGTGTCAAACAAAATGGTAACAGGGAAGACAAATGTTATACATATAAATAACAGAAAATCTCCAAATATATTATCAATTTAAATTTTATTTATTTATTTTAAAACTTTTGGCAAGAAACAAAACATTTGATATTATCAAACAGTAATGCTACAATAATCATTTTTGTTTACCACAATGGGTGTACCATCTCATTTATGATATTGAATCGGTTGTATGGATTCCGCATGAGGATCCTCTGAAGTAAAAGCCTGAAGTGATCTCCTAGAGTGATTCAATCCAACGGCTGAAATTAAAACTAACTAAAACGACGTTGTTTTGGTTAGTAAGTTGAAAAAAAAAATCAGTTTCTTTGCTTGCCTTCTTTCTCTTTCTTTCTCTCAGAAAATCACACCAAAGAGGAAGTTGGAGACATTGGGTTTGCCCCCTCTACCTCTCTTCTCCCAATTTTATTTCTTTTTTTTTCCCCCCAAATTAATCTTTTGTTTTTCTGTGTATAGTACAACAAACAATGTAATTTAGATTGTTGTTTCTCTCCAAATTTCCGAGTTGGGTAAAAAAAAATGATGCTAATCTGTGAATGCAATTGTCTGTACACTCGTTCAACAAGTGTTTGTAGATTTGTCTAGCAGAGAGTGAAGAAATCTAGAGAGAGAAACAAGGTGAGAGAAAGGGTGGGTGATTGAGTGAGTTGCCTTATTTATAGATTAAAAAAAAGGCCTATTTCATGAGTTTTGGGGGTTTTCTTGACAATCACAGTGGCGGTGACAGTGGCGATGCTAGATTCATTGCCGACATACCTTACAGCAACAACCACAATATGCCCACTGGTGTAATCTCTCAGCAACGCCTCGTCTCTCCTTCTCTTGCCAAGTCCATGTTCAACTCTCCCGGACTCTCTCCAGCTCTCATAAACACACTCCCTCTCTCTCTCTCTCTTTCTCTATCTATATCTATATATACTCTACTAGATCAATCTTTGCTTGCTCTCTTGTTTACACTGATTTGGGTTTGATTGTTTCTAATTTATTTTTTTGATTTTTGGAAGCAAACGAGTATGGAGAGCCAATGAGAAGCTACGAGGATTCAAGAGGATTACGAGACTAATGTTGGAAGAAGAAGCAGATGATTTATTATTATTATTTTTTTTTTCCATCTTACTAACCAAAACGACGTCGTTTTGGTTAGTTTTAATTTCAGCTGTTGGATTGGATCACTCTAGGAGATTACTTCAGGCTTTTACTTCAGAGGATCCTCACGCATGGATTCCACCACTCATGTCTATTATCAATATAATGATGACATATCATATAATAAATTAAATGTGATATAATAATATAGTCATTGTAGCATTACTTATCATTAATACAATAGGTCTCATATGCATAGCATTATATCTAAGGGTTGTGGATAAAATAAAAGTAGGGTTTGGCTTTGGTCCAGTCCAAGATCGGACTGGACCGTGTTGTTGGGCCCGTGGGGGCCCACTATGGGTCCAATTTTGAAAATTCAAACCGTTCAATGTGTAGAATTCGTCGAGTACTATATGTCAATAAAAAATCACGTTGATCGGATATCGATAGCTATGTGATCAAAATAGTTTTTTATCAACCGTTAATTTATTCACCGTCCATTTTTTTTTATACAAAACGGATTTGATCACAAAATTATCGATATCCAATCAGCGTGATTTTTTACATGCATATAATACTCGACGAGTTCTACACATTGAACGGTTCAGATTTTCAAAACGGGACCCGTAATGGACCCCCATAAACCCAACAACATGGTCCAGTCTGATCTTGGACTGGACCAAAGCTAAACTGTAAAAGTAAATGTTCAACGTCGCATTTTTTTAATTTTTTATTATTGATCCTTACTGCTTACAAGGAGTTAGCTAGTACATCTTCCATAATTAGTATGACGTAATTGTTATGTGATGGTCCAGGTCTAAACCCTACCCATTTGGATTTTTGATACACCTGCACTAGAACCACATTGCCTTATGTTGATCAAATTGTTGTTAGTTTTCCACACTTGATGCTTTGGGTTTGTGGCACTTGAGGCAGTGCATTGAAGAGTTTTTGGGAGAACGGTGGTGCTAGAGACCACTAATTTAGTGGCTCTAAACCCACCACTAATAAGGTGACAAAGCAAAAAAAAAATTAGACACAACGCATGATGAGGCAGTGGGTGGGATCCACTGCCACATCATTAGTGGTAGCTCTAATTAGAGCTTCCACTCATTTTCCTTTGGAAGAAATACTAGGTTGGTGATCGATCGCATGTGAGGAGGGATCGATTGCTATTTCGAGCAGAATGTAGAGATTGAAAGGAGATCGATCTGTTTGGGAGCGATCACCCAGTTGACGTAACTTGTAGTTCTGCTTTTTCCTTCCTTCGTCGTCACTTTTCTTCTCTCTCTCTCTCTCTCTTTCTCTCTCTCTCTCTCCTATCTGAAATATCTTCTCTCTACATTTCTTACATTCAACATACAAAACCCTTGATCTCCCCCACCTAGAGTGTAAGATGATCAAAAATCAAAGTATTAAAGTTGTAGAGCACGTCGTGGGCTTTGATCTTACCGAGCCCAATCCTAGTTAGAGCATTTTGGGTTTTCAAGCTTTCTTCCTTCGGTTCTTCTAATTTGATGTAGGGATTATCTTACCTCTATAAATATGATTTCGAATTGTATATGTGGTATTCTCCTAGCTATGGATTTGTAAAAAATGTATAGAGGTTTTTATATTTAATGCACTAAAAATTGGGGCTTTAATGTATATTCTTAATCATTAAAACTCTCTTCAATTGTAAAGAATTGTGTATGAATTTCAAGGTTTTACCTTAAAACGATTTAAGCACTAAATTTTTCGAAACACTAGGATTAGGAAATTGATGATAATGTTGGTGTTGAGCTATTTTTCATTAAGTGAGAATATTCTTATGATTGTGATATGTGGAATACAATTAGAGATGTATTGTTGTAATCAGTGGAGAATTGCCATTGTTGTAGAACTCTTGTTGACAACTTGGGGAAAATGAAATCGTTTTGGCATATGCATTGAGCATTCATATCTAATCATGAAGATTGTACATTTGGATTAAATTGTTGAAATTGGGATTAGTTTATTGTAAAATCAGAATTTATTTCTTTATTGTGGATATTGATTTCGGTTGAGCAATATCTATATATTGTTGTCAGCAATTGGTGGAGGATTGCATGATTATGATGTTAAACTATGTTGTTAATATTTGTTTGAGCAATTAATCAGGGTAGTATATTGGAGAATTAAGCTGGCAAGAGTGTCCATGAAAGACTAGAATCCATGCAAGAGTAGGTACTGCTTTCTTTCCAGCTAATAACTGATAAAGTGGGGGTGGTGTTGGTGGTCCATGCATTTTAGGACCACTGCAAACACTGACCTGGGGATTCATTACCTTGTTATCTTGTTCAGAACTTGATTACGAAAATTATTCTCTCTTATTTATTACATTGGCAAATTGGAAATGACACAAAAAAATTTATTGGATGAGATATTCTTTTGGAAAATTGTGGAAGTTGAGAATTTGGTTGGATTTCTATCTCATGAAAATTGTCGTCACAAATTGGCATGTGCATTGCATTCATGATCATATCCATATTCAGAGCATATTTATTTAGATAAGATTATTTCTACTAAGCCTAATGCTTATCCCTTCGTGAAAATCATTTTTCAGGTATTGACGATGTGCCTCCGCCAATATGATGACCTAGGGATTGTTGAGCATGAAGCTCACTTATTTGTTATTTTGTGGTTTGTATGACCTAGGGCCTTATTTATGTATCAGGTTGAGACCTTTTTTTGTTGTAGATAGGGCGATGCCCTTTCCTTTTCATGTAAGCCTACAAGACATTTTATTTGAATACAGAAACAAGAGATCTATGTAGTGTTTCACATGTTTAGTGATCATGTCATGTCGTAAGTTGGATATAGGATGCATGTGACCTGTGTAGCTCATGAATTGTATGAATGAAATAGACAGATAAGGGTTTATCTTTTGTTCAGTTCTTTATCTCTTTAATTCTGATTTTACTTCATTATGTTCTTAAAAGTTGATTATAGTTTATATCTTAAATTGCAAAAAAAACGCCATATTTCATTGATTTGGATTTTTTAGAAAATTGGGACACTACAACTTGGCATCAAAGCTCATTGATTTTGAATGACTTGGGCTCGTGGGACGTGCTTTTACCACAATGGGTTTTACTTCGCAGGTGAGGAATGATTGCATGCTGTGTTCTATGTGATAACATGATTATGTGGCTATTGGGTATGAGATTAAGTTTCTAGGATATTATTTGAACCTAGGAAATTGTTAGAAGTCTTATTGGAAAAAGTGCATGATCAAAACTAATTCATGTGAGAACTCTTGGAACATTCTTGGGACAAAAGACAATCCTAAAGAAATAATCCGTTATATGTTATATGGCTATATGCTTATGTGGTGTGAATTGAGGTGTTCATATAAGGTTAGGACGCGAATGACTCTAATTGGTAGGCATTAGTGCCTTAAATTGGTCACACGGTTTTGCTTGATTAGTTATTCGTTCCAACTATATGGACAACCATTTGTAGAGTTGGTATAGAGCCTTAGATTGACTCTCTCTGTATGTGTATGAACGTAAGTGTGACCTTAGCACATCTGGTGTTGTCATGAGGAGTTTGATGCACATGGGGTGTTGTCATGAGCGGTTTAATTATTTTGAACCCTATATCAAATCATGAAAGGTGAACTAAAAGACGAGTCTTGGAAGTAGAGTGGATTGGAGATTGAGCTAGTTATAGTGGTGTTGTTTGGTTGAGATCTTAATGATGATCAAAGTAACCTAAGGACAAATGTTTTGAAATGTTGACATCGTAATACGTAAACTAGTTTTAAATTTCTTTAGGATAGAAGTTAGTTATGTTGAGCTGACGGTCAAGGTAGTGTATAAAGAAGATGATATAAGTAGTGTATCAAGAATTTTCTTTTCTCATTTATATATCTATTTTAGAAGTAAATTTTGGCGTTGGTGTGTGAGGTTGTTACAATCCAATAGACGCTTGCGATGAGTGTGATGAATTTGCTGATGTAGTTTGCCATGGGAATCTTCGTGGGGAAGTTGTACTTGATCTATCAAAAGTAATTAATGTCAAACTCTATGGTTACTCCTACCTATAAGCTACAAGTTGTGAATAAGAAAAAATATAGATAAGCATTTTGGGTTAGGCTCCATGAGAGTATGAATTATATAATTGAAATAGAAATTAGCTTGGGTCCATTGTTCCTTGTCTAAAAGATTATCTTATGGTGAGTTGGTTGTCAAAACAAATGTCTACTGCTTAGTTTTTGTCTCGCCGTTAAGAGTGAGGATACCTTGAACTGTAAGAATATTGGTCAATGATCGCTATTAAGTTGAGGTACACGTATAATTGACGTTAAGTGACTGATGATGATCGTGATTAGTACTTAATACTTTGATTGGAAATTGTTGACCTCTTCTTTCCAAACCTTCTCATTGTGTTTGATTGATGGTGGCGTCTTAGAAACCTCATTGGTGGGCTCTTTTCCTCAGGAAGATGAGCTGTATGGAGAACATCTGTTATTATCGTCAGCATCAGGGGCCGTTTCAGAATAAGTGAGATGTGAGTGTTACTCGCTCTTTTCGGCATAATAGACACCTTAGAGAAAATCGGTAGTGATATACTCAATAGTTGTTATTGCAACTTCTGTTGTATTTTTTCGGAGTTTGTGTGGTAATAGTGTGGCCGGCTAGTGGCTCCAACTAGAATTTGGGATGACTCTAGAAATGCAAATATTAGTCGGAGCAGCCTTGGACTTGGTGACCGGTACCACAGTAGTGTGAATTGGGTAGTTATGAAAATTTGGCTTCCTCTTCCTTATGTTGTGTGAAACTAGACTGATGTGATGTCTGGAATTACCTACTAGTCTTGCAATTATCTTCGTTAGGTTTGTTGTGTGCTTGTATGTATAGTTTAGGTGATTGAAGTAGAGGTTAATTTTGGTCCCTTAATTATTAGTATAATAATTTAGTCACTAGTTAAGTGTGAGCATTTACAATTTTTGAGCGAGAATTATCTTGTTTTCTTAGAGTATAGTTGTGAGTCATTCAATGTGTATTCGATCTCGAGTACAGTAGTCTGGATTTAGAAGTGTTTATTTTTCTAGGTAGGACAGGATAAATTCGTATTTCTTAGCTTCATTTTGTGTATCTTGTTAGCACACGGAACCATTGAGAATGAATGATTGGTGTTTCAACTCATAGTCACATCTTTCAAAATCTTGTGTAAGAACCATTTGACTAATGCTTTTGAATACAGCCTTGGAGCGACACTAGGATTGCGATTGTTCGTTAATGTACCTTTGACTTAGACCGTGCTAGTCTTTCTTGTACTAGTTGAGATAGTAATTGATGTCATTGTCATGTGACTATGATAATTATAAGAATTAGCTTTTTCTTCCATTTGATAAGTTTCAAATAGTTAAATCCGAAATTTTGTTATCTGGTGTGGGTGTCCCTTTGCGGTTAGTTGTTGTGCATGGTGATACATACAATAACGTATATCTTTAAGGAAAATAGACATTTGACTTAATATGATTGGAGCTAAATTCAAATTGACCACTATCGAAACTTAAAGGATTAAAACAAAAAGAATATCATGCGTTAGAATTAGAACCAAATTGAGTCCAATTGACAACTTGAAAGATCAAAATGACAATATTAAAACTTTAAAGACTAAAATAACAAAAAAACCAAAAACATACTTTAGGAACTAAAATTGATTTTTATCATATTTTGATTTGAAAATTAAGAAGGATCCTGTCATATTTTGATATAGAGACATATTTTGATATAGAGATTGATTGGTAATCGACTTGACCGATAATGGCTTATTTGTTTCTATTTGTTAAATAAATTTAAAAAATAAAACAAAATAAAAATATATAATGTAGGATTAGTTATACTTGATAAATTTATAGAAAGGAGTAATATTTTTTGTTTTTTATTTATTTATAAAACTAGTAACAATGGTCTAGATCATGAAAGTTCTAATAGTTATGGAAGTAGTTGTGGGAGTGGTGATGGATTGTGGTTGGCAGTATGGGTGAACATGACCCGGATTGGTTTGGATTGGGGTGAAACCAAGACCAATCTGTTATCTGCATTTCTTAAAAAATTGAAACTAATCCAATCTGTTTAAATTGTGAAACTAATCTGAATCAATCCATTTAAATATGGATTGGATCAGTTTAGGACCACGGATTCACATAATTAAATTAAAAAAATATACAGAACATTTTAATTTCATAAAAACATAAGCATAGCATCATATTAATTCCACAATAGCAATATGCCTTTCCACAATAGCAATATACTATTCTAGAATTTAAACAACTATAAGAAAACTGGTTATACCATAAGTATTTAGACTATTACAAATTAAAACTAAAAACCAACAAACAAAAGCAATAAAAGAAAATACTATGCGGGTTTAGGTTTGGATTTAGGTTTTATATGGAATAAGATAAAATACTATGCGGAATGGTATATAATATATAAGCTATTTGTACACGATTCGAATTGGTTCTAATTTGAAACCGTGGGATTCAATCAGGAACCGATCTGTAGACTACAGATTTTTAATTTTTCAATCCGGAATCGAACCATGGATTCAAAAAACTAATCCAAACCTACCGAATTGGACTAGACCGGGTCAGATTACAAATTTTACGAACCCTTTACTCAGCCCTAGTTGGCAGTGTAGTGATGGTGCAAAGGTGGCAATGGTGGTGGCGTTGGTGGTAGAAATGTGTCACTGTAACAAGTGGTGATGGTGGTGATGGGGTGCCAACAACAGTAAAGGTGCCGGTTGCAATAGGATTGTTATGACAATAATAGTAGGATGGTGGATGTCGGTGGTGATAGTGGAAAGCTAGTGGTTGTGGTGGTGGTGACAGCAGTAATAATGGTAGTTGTAGAGTGGTGGTAAAGTGTGGTGGTGTTTGGCAATGATGGTAGGATGGTGGTGGCAGGAACACATGGTTGTAATAGCAACATTTAGAATGATTCCACCATAAAAAAGAATGCCTATTCTTTGAATTGGAGGAATGAATAAGTATTCCTACTTTCTGTTTGGAATGACCATTCTGAAAGAATGACTAATCCCATTTCACAAAATTTACCAAACAAGAAAAAGGAAATGCAAAGTTAGAATGGACATTCCATTCCTACCAATTTCATCATACCAAACATACTCAAATAAAAAACACATCAATCCAAAAGACACCCTATAATCAAAGGACACCCTATCGCTAGTCCTTATCTCATCAATACTAAGAGCACTAGCCATGCAAAGTCCCTGAAATAGCTAGAATGGATACTAGCAAACACAAATTTTCCCAAACAGTAAAGGGTGGGTGATCATACATTTATAAAATTAAGCCAGCTACATGAAATTCCATCAGTAAAGTACCCAATGGCCTGGTGAAGATTGTTTGATTTAAGTTTGCAAACAAACAGGTCAACATAATATCTACACTGCTCCCATCAATAAACACCATGAAAACATAACAACAATAGTCTTTAAGTACCAGTAATTAGTGAATAGTATTGTTCTCATTTTCCTTCATTCAACCAGATTTGTCACTCGAACTGCCAACATCCTTCTTTTCATAGTACCTGATTCAAAAGGCAAGCACATTAACAAGTCCCCCAACCAAAAAAGGAAAAACTATCAATGTAATAAATGATCATTCCATATATTTACTAACAAACACAAATTACAAGCAAAATGCCTCCATAGTCCCAAGTTATTGTCAACCAAAGAAAAAGCATTTGTATCAAATAGGCATTTGTTCCTTTGATATGCTTTGTATTGCCTCCTCACAAAGAGGGTCGATCAAGTATGGAGGTAGAACCCTGACCAATGCCAGACTTAATTTGTCTCACTTGATCATTAGTCAATGAGGAAATAGAAATATATCTTCGAGAGAGAGAGAATAAGTAGTGCCCTTCGGTGGAACACTCTAAAAAGACTACTTGTGTTCACTTGGTTTATTGCCACATGTGAAAGCGGAGAGTGGAGGAGGGGGAGGGAAAAGGAACTCAAGTGCTAAGTAGGAAGACAAAGCTGGTTTTTAACCTCAGTATTCACCTCTTCGCCAATAAACTAAATAATCATGGAGAATGACACGACATATAAGGAATATAATGACTAGTGCATACAATTCAAATAAGTTCTAATCATCAGGAATACTATTTTGTCTCACTTGATCATTATTGAATGAGGGACCTTTCAAGGGAATGCTCTAAAAATACTGTTTGTGCTCCCTCTCTCTCTCTTGCAAGGACCCCCATAATAGAAGCGAATCAAGTATAGCAATACAGGACAAACAACAAACTCCAATGTACATGCTCATGCTTCAAATATTATAGGTCCACAACAAGAACTACAATTTCAAAATGCTTTTGGTATCAACTAAGAAGCATGGACACTTCTAAGAAGGTGACGTATTCGTGTCGTGTCGGACACCGACACTCTTTAGACACTCTTAGAACACGTGTCCGACACTTTTCAAAACGTGTCCTATTTTTAAATTTCTTTAAAGACCCGGACACTCTTTGGATACTTGGAGGGCACGTGTCAATCGCTTAAACACACGTGTCTATCGATTAAATACATGTGAAACTAATTATAAGTTTGAACAAAACAACTTAAGATACAATAATAAAACAAAAATCATATAAATTTATAAGAATTAGTGTCATATTGCATTTTTTATTATCTTTAAATGATATATTCATATATATAACATATAATAAATATATAAAATTATATATTTCATGCGTGTCCCTCACGTGTCGTGTCCTATATTTTTTGAGAATTAACGTGTTGTCGTGTCATGTGTCCCTGTCCGTGCTTCTTAGGGTATCAATAAGAACGATTAAAAAAATTCAACATCAATTTCAAACACTGTTTGCCACACCAGTTAACTCATGAGTCAACACTAATCCCTCACTGCTCATCAAAAAAGAAAAAAAGAAAAAAGGAGCACCATCCTACCACTGTTCAATTAGTGAAACATTTCAATTTCAAATATGATGCTCAAATTCCATAAATAGTGAGCAAATATAAGACGACAAAACAAATGGCTCCAATGCTTGAGGTAATCCTAATTCCCAACTATAAACGCCATATTCTACTCATCCTAGACACCTCTATCCACTTCCCAACATCATAGCCGCCACACGCCACCCAAAAAAAAAAAAAAAAAAAAAAACCAAAAAAAAAAAAAAAACCAAAACAAAGTTCCCCAACGCAATTAAAACCACCAATCCCTTCTCCTGTGTTCAATCCACAATGAACAAAATTATATAGGAAAACTTTTCCCTACCAAATCCTATACTCTCTTCTTGTTTTGAACGAATTGGGCACAATTTTGCTCCCCTCCAACCACTCTTTGCATAGTTACAACTTGTATGAATTGCATATTGTATCTTGTATCAAAAGATTTTTTTACATCTATATTCTATTTAAACTTCTATTACCATAGTTTTACAATTCACGATTCTATTCACAATTTATAAAAAAATTGATACAAATCTGTGTGACTCTATTTTGAAAGTGAATGAATATATTGTGAATCACATGATTAACAATCGAACAATCAATTCACTTTTCACGGTTCATGTAATTTTTAAAACTATCATATTCAACATATTTCGATTCATTCTTTTCCCTCTTTTTAGTGGAAATATGCATGATTTTTTTTTTGTTATTTGGGTAATGAGTGAGTTTTTAACCTCTTTTTCTCATTTTTTTTTCCTTAACACAAATCATAATATATCTTCTAAGTTGCACCATGAATTATATATTATCAATATTACATGTGTGAATTTAGTTAAATAATAAATTAAAATTGAACAATAAGCATACATACCTTTTAGAGAGTTTTTAAATTTAAAAATAAAGGATTCCAAATGTCATTGTCACTTAGAAAGGTATGCAAGCTTGTTGTCTGAATATCAATATCATTTTTAAGTAATTGTTACTAAAAAATTGAGAATTCATCTTTGTTTATTTTCTTTATAAAAAATGGTTGATAAGAAATATCTAAAAAAATAAAAAGGTAAGATGGTGATATTACATTGAAACCCGTGTTACTTACCTTATTACCTATTGGACCACGTAATTATCATTCAAAACAACATTTTAATTGATTTAATATTTCATATTTATAACATATATTTAATATCTATCTAAGTGTGTAGATATATTATCCAAGTAATTTTAAAAATGTGACTAAATCTTTGCGATTCACAATTTGATTCAATTCACAATTCGATACAAGGCCATTTCAATTCACAATTCAAATCATGATTTGACAACTATAATTTAAAAAACGAGTAGAAAATAAATAAATACAAGAAAAAACAAATATCACATGAGAACAAAACATTATACAATATATAAACCTTGAAATTGCAACAGTAAGGTTCCTTGGAATAAATATAGCATGCAACAATAGATAATTAATTCATGCACAATAGCGCTTCAGTACATTATTATATCCTTGAATCAAATTTACAACTTAACAACAATGTTAATACAAAAGAAGTGTGGAATCATTGGGTTTAATTGACCTCACTTATGTAATATTGGACTATATTTATTTCAATAAAATAGCAATATATAATCTAGGGTGCAAGTTAGTTTAACTTTAAATATTTTTAGAAGATACATTTTGATTTTCTTTTAGGGAAAAAAAAATGAGAAAATTATTAAAAAAAAATGTTGGGCATGCTTTGATTGGATTCTGTTAAAAACTCCATAATCACTAAGATAACAAGAAATCATATATAAAGTCATTTACCTACTAAATGCTATTAGAAGTTGTAGTATGCTGATTTCACTAGAAAGAGAGAAAAAAAGCAAATTGTATCGTAAATGATAGTTTCAAAAATTGCAAGAATCATAAAAAGTGAATTGAATTGTGCATTCACCATAGATTAACTTCCAAAATAGATTCGCCCATAGATTCATATTGATTTTGCAGAAATTGCGAATCAAATCGAGAATAGTAAGATTATGATAAAAAAGGTAAACTTGTATGTGTAATTAGCTCGTGTGTACGACTTTTGATGTGTAATATGTGTGTTTTGTAACTAATGCTATATTTGGTTTACTGGAATGAGTTGGAATAGAATCGAATGATTATTCCTTAAATTCTCATATGAAATGATCATTCCCTTGAAATGGTGAACGATGATTCCATTTATAATGCATTTGTCATTATTGTTTTAGTCAACCAAACATGAGAATGAATATTTTGATAGAATGATCATTTCATTCCGTTTCATTTGAGTGAACCAAACACTACCCAAATGTTTAATTATGACACTTGCAAGAGATAGGGGAGCATCAAACACCAAAAAGAATCAAACAAGATTTTTGTACGAGATATATGTGTGTCATATACATGCGAGTGTACAAGTATATATATTGTAGAGTTAACTTTGGGGTGTAAACAAGATGAGGGTGAATTACAAAAAATAAAAATCAAAATTTAAAATCAAAAGGGTTAAGTTGTCAATGCTGGAAACAAAATTAGGACTATTCTCAAAAATTCACACTAAGGCAAAGGATTTAAAAGAATAAACTAGAATCAAAAGGAAAGAAAATATGAATCCCAATACGTAAACATGTCACAAATTTGAGAAACATGACAAATAGTGAGGACTAAAACAAGAGAAAGATTGTAAAAAAGTGATTATTCTACAAATTATGAACACCATTCTATTATAAAACAAAAATGATAAATAATAATCACGTTTAGATCACCATACCTTGCCCACATGTTGTCCATGAAATCACTTTCCCTATCACAAGAAATCGGTCTAACATGAGACAAGTTATCCCAACAAAAGTGATTACTCTACAAATTATGAACACCATTCTATTATAAAACAAAAATGATAAATAATAATCACGTTTAGATCACCATACCTTGCCCACATGTTGTCCATGAAATCACTTTCCCTATCACAAGAAATCGGTCTAACATGAGACAAGTTATCCCAACAAACGTGATTATTCTACAAATTATGAACACCATTCTATTATAAAACAAAACTGATAAATAACAGTTATCTTTAGATCACAATACTTTTCCCGCCTGTCGTCCATGAAATCACTTGCCCTATCACAAGAAATTGGTCAACATGAGACAAGTTATCCCAAATATTTATAAGGCAACAACTTCTGAACAATGGACACATATAAAGGACTTCCCCTAAGGATTTTCTTCTTTGATGTTTACACACAGGTTATATCAGAAAAAAGACCAGGAACAGTTTGATTCTCCTGATATCTTTTACTAGGATGTTGATAATTTTGGATGGGGAATGCATTATAGTCCCTGTAGCTGGCTATTCCTTTTGATTGGTCACAGGAGTTGCAATCAATCCAGCTGCTCTGTCAACTTCTACGGATGGTGTAAAGAGGGCAGATCTTCTTAAGATCATTTTTTCCTTGCAGATGGTACTAATGCTACAAAATTGATTCATCTATTTTTCAAATTTAATTTTTCATTAGATGCCAGCTTTTTTTATCATCCTTGCTCAGAAGATTTAGATGCTAATCTCAAAATTGTTTATACTTTCATAAATATTGAATTGTTGGAAGTGTTGTTGATTGTAAATACGACTTATCAATAATTTTGGAAGAACATTGATCTAGGGTTCACGTCTTCGCGAAATCTGTATTTTTCATTCTTTGAAACATGGCAAAACGATGCAACATGTAGTGCTCAATTTCTTAGAATTCTACTTCCTAATTGATTGTTAGTTTCCATTAAAAAGACTATTGGAGCGATGAGCTCTAATTGTCTCTTGCTAGAACCGAACTGTAAAGGACCGCCCCACTCCTTGACAGTTCCAAGAGAGGATCAACATGAGGTGTGTGGCTGTTTTGGGCCAGCCACAACTGCCCTTTCATTATTCTCTTCATTCTTCACGTTTGATAAATTTGTTGAACATTTACTTCCAAGTATATAACATGAGGTCTTGCTAGCAATCCTTCAATTAACCTGGCATTTGTTTCTCATCTTTACAGAGCTTGCTGAAGAGGCAAATAGGCTTGTGAACTAAAGTTGTCTCTTCTCTTTTTTTTCTTTTTTCTTTTTTTTTTTTTTTTTTGTGTGTTATCTTGTTCTTGCACACTGTAGTATTAAAGTAGCTGGATAGACTATTGTTTTTCACAATGTTGTCTTTATTTTGGTTGCATCCATTGTATAAACTAACAAATCACAGCATCATTTTATGATGGAATGATCATTCCATTCCGTTTCATTTGAGTGAACCAAAAACTACCCAAGTATTTAATTATGACATTTGCAAGAGATTGGTGGAGCATCAAACACCAAAAGGAATCAAACAAGATTTTGTACAGGATATATGTGTGCCATATACGTGCGAGTGTATAAGTATATATATTGCAGAGTAAACTTCAGGGTGTAAACAAGATGAGGGTGAATTACTAAAAATAAAAATATTTAAAGTCAAAAGGGTTAAGTCGTCAAGGCTGGAAACAAAATTAGGATTTTTCCCAAGAATTCACACTATCTAAAAGAATCTAAAAGAACAAACCAGAACCAAAAGCAAAGAAAATATGAATCCCAATACGTAAACATGTCACAATTTGGGAAACATGACAAATAGTGAGGACTAAAACAAGAGAAAGAGTGTAAAAAGTGTACAAAAGTGATTATTATACAAATTATGAACACCATCCTACTATAAAACAAAAATGATGACTAATAGTCATGTTTAGATCACCATACCTTGCCTGCCTCCTGTTGTACTCCATCAAATCACTTGCCCTATCACAAGAAATCGGTCTAACATGAGACAAGTTATCCCATTGAACATGATTATTATACAAATTATGAAAACCATTCTATTATAAAACAAAACAGATAAATAATAGTTATGTTTAGATCACAATACCTTTCCCGCCTGTACCTCACGTAACGACTTGCCCTACCACAAGAAATCGGTCAACATGAGACAACTTATCCCAAATATTTATAAGGCAATAACTAGTGAACAGTACAAAAATCAAACATGAATAAAATATCACATACTCTAGGCCGACTGAAATACCAACATAAATTCCACCCATGTGCATTGCTCCAATCAAAACTGGTACAATAACCGCAATTAAAGTTTGAATAATGTGTTCAAACTGACAGATCTATTGATTGAGAATAAAAAGAACAATAGTAGAAAGATAAACAACATACGGATTCGAATTATTGTTTGGGATGAAGGCATCCTCAAATTCAGCAGCCAGCAACCTTGCATATGTTAAACATACATAATTTAATCATCTCCTCGAGACGCAACATCATATCATAGAGAATACAAAGGGAAACAATGGGAAAGAAATGGCGATACCAGATACTTCACCTGTTCCCTTTCTTTGCGAGCCCTAAAGGGCCACTTCCTAAATAAGCCAAATTATCAATTCAATTCCCAAACTAGGCCTAAGTGTTAAAAGATTTTTCAAAATATCACGTTTGTGCGTCTGTTCTGCGTGAGAATTGAAAAGTCTTAAAAGCGTGATTACAAAACACACTTTTAATTAAAAAAACGTGGTTATAAAAGGCACTTTTAATTAAAAAAAATTTCTTTTGAAATCGCTGTTCTGAACCACGCTTTTAACTTACATTTTTTTTGTTCTGAAAGTGCGGTTGTGAACCACGTTTTTAACCAAAAAATTTTCTTCTGAAATCGTGGTTACGAACCACGCTTTTATCTTAAAATTTTTTTCTTCTAAAAACGTGATTATGAACCACGCTTTTTGGCAAAAAAAATTTTCTTCTGAAAGCATGTTTGTGAATCACGCTTTTTTATAGGATTTTTTTCTTTAAGTGAAAGCGTGGTTTGTAACCACGCTTTTAAAACTTATATAAAATCTCCCCAACCCCGTGTTTTGCAATCACGCTTGTTACATTCACTCTCATTGCCTGCTCTCTCTCTCGCTCCCTGCTCTCTCTCTCTCTCGCTCTTACTACTCTCTCTCTCTCTCGCTCTTACTACTCTCTCTCGCTCTTACTGCTCTCTCTCTGTCGCTATGCTCGAGCTCCCTCTACTTCAGTACCGTCGCTCTCTGTGTTGTCTCTCGTTGGTATGGCTTTTGTCTCTCTCTATTGATCTACTTTAATGCGTTTTTTGTGTTTGTGAAAATGTGAATGTGGGTATAATGTTGATAGAATAGGGTTCATGAATGTGAAGATGTTGTGAAATCAGAAATAATAAATTAGGGTTAAGGTTTATAATTGTGAAATCAGAAATTACGATTACGGTTTGAGAAATTAGGGTTTTGAATTGTGAAATATGTTTAAAAATTTGTGAAATCTGTTTAGAAATGTGAAATCTGTTTATAATTGTGAAATCTGTTGAATGTGAAATCAGATTTCTATTGAATATGAAATAGATTTCTGTTGAATGTGACATCTGTTGAATGTTGAATCTGTTTAGAAAAATTTAAATATTATGTTTGAAATGAGAAAATGACGGTTATGGTTTTCTATTGAATGTGAAATCAGAAATGAGGGTTTTGGTTTTGAATTAGGGTTTTGAATTGATGAATGTGAAATCATTTTTCAATTAGGGTTAGGGTTTTAAATTGTGAAATCAGAAATGAAAATGGGAAGTAAGAAGAGTTGGCGATTTTTAAAATAAGTGAATAATTGTTCTCGTGATGTATTTGCTGCTTGTTGAACAAAATTTGAATATTTTGAATTGAATCGTGAAAATGGAGTGAAAAGTGAATAAATCGGAATTAAACGATAGAAGCTATGTAGTGAGTGAATGTGATAAAAACCTAAACCAAGAGGACAGAACGGAACTTATGGAGTTGGTTGTCATTTTCTTAGAGGTTTTGTACTTAGCCATTGGAGAAGAAGGCTTTGAGGTTGATGAATCGAGTATGGGTGTTGTATATTGTTGAATCAATTGTGTAAATGAGAATAATGTGTTAATCGTTGAGATAGATGAAGAAAACGCATTGATAGAGGTTCCTCTCCCTTCCAAATTCGCGCCCGTTTAAGTGTGAACATGTTCCTTTCCTCTCCGGCATAAGAACTGGTAAAGTGTGAATGGGTTTCTCTCCCCTTAGGCTTGAGAACGGTAAAGTGTAGTGCTTTGAGACAAGTTTTGCTCCCTTTCGGTTTGCGCCCGATAAAGTGTGTTGTGGTGGTTATGGCTTGACAAAGCCAGGTTATGTTACGTGATAGTTTTGTGTAGTTTATTTTTGTACTTGTGTTGTGAGGTAAAGGGGTGCACCATTGGCCTTCCATACTTGTGACTGGTAAAATATTATAATGCGTGCTGACATGTCTATTGTTGCATGTATATATATATATATATTGTTATGGGTACTGTTGGACAATCTTCACTGTATTTAAATAGATTAAATTCTGTTATGTACTAAACAACAACAAGAATATAAAGAAATAAAGGAAATGAGAGAATTTGTTTGATTACAAAAATCAAACTAGAAATAAATTAATAAATAAATAAAAACAGATTTTATTTTGTTACAAAAACAAAATTAAAATCTGATTTAATAAACAAATAAAACAGAATAATAAATTAAACAACTTACTTGATTAATTTCTTGTAATAAATATCTAATTAAGTTCAGTGTTTGACACTGTGTCCTTAAGACAGATTCGTCCTCTCCACGGTGCTTTCAGAATGTGGATGTCCATCTCCCAGGATGAAATGATCAACTACAAACAATAGCAGCACTACAAATTGTTTGCCTAACGAACACACTAATTGTTTATACTCTTTCTCAGAAGAAAATAATGCAACAATATGAAGAGAATGTTTGCAGAATTATGAAGGACGAAAATTAGAGTTCCAAAATCCAAATGAGGACTGTCCTATTTATAGATGGATTGGTGGATGCAGGTTTTGAATTAAACAGGTGCAAACTTGTTTGGTTTTGAATTTAAACAGATTTGAATATGTTGGGTTCACAATTCAAATAGATAAAAAACGGGAAGGGCCCTGTTTGGGTGTACAGTAAAAATCGGACCAGTTTATTTCCAGAATTAATTTGAATTCTGGATTTTATTTTACCATAAAATAAAATAAAATTCAAATGTTTTTTACCCAAAAAAATTAGTATTGGGCCGAATAAGCCCAACCCAACCACACACCACGC